TGCCTAACATATTGCATGCAGCAGGACATCCCGGTTGTTTGTCACATTGCATTTGACGTACAGTGTATTAGGACATCGTATGGTAGTGTGGGTACTGGAATGCACCCAAAGGACATAAAAGGAAGCTGGGCAGACAGGACAGTGCAAGAGAGGGAGGCTTTTTTTTTAAGGGGTTATGGAGTTTAAGAGGCGGTGCACAGGTTCAGTGCTGAGTATATTTAGAGAGAAGTAGATGAACCTTTGAGGCATTTTGGTTTGGTGCCCATCGTCAAGATGAAGTCATACGTGCTCCTCCCAGCCCTGCTGCTGTCTCTTGGATGCACAGGTGAGTAACTTTCTGTCCTGATCACTTCAAAATAAGATTCAGTAACTTCACCTTTCCCTCCTCCTCGTCTGTGACTTTGAAGGCATCCCACTTCACAACTCTGAGCTGCAGTCTGCGGCAGACAGCGCTCTGGGAGCAGCTTTGGCAGAGGTCAACTCTGTGTATGCTGCCAGCCACCTTTACCGGGTCACTACAGGCTCTGTCGCAAAGGTGAGCCTGTTGTGTGCTTAATGCATTTAACAGTATGGCAACAGCTGATTTGTCCTGAATATCCCACGTGTGACAGGTCATCCCCACGGGCCTGGACACCGTCGACCTGCTGATGGTTTTTCGGATTAAGGAGACTCAGTGTGCAAAGACTTCCCAAGATGACCCTCAGGCCTGTGCCTTCAGGCCCGGCTTCTTTGTGGTGAGACATTTAAACCAATGCTTTCCAAATACTTCAGTGAGATAATAAACAAATTAGCCACGTCAGAAGCTGGAATATTATGTGGATGGTTCCCTGTGAAGGGCTGATATCTGTATCCTGGTGTGGACACATGTTGACTCAGTGCTACAGCCTGTTGTTTACATTGGCACGAGTTTACTGGGCCAGAACGTGCCCCTGTGTGATTGACGGGACAGCGGCCACCATGGAATTTAAAGAAATAACACTCAGACTAATAAAGCAGGGTTTTTTCTTGTTTCTTTCTCTTTTACCCACCTTCAGCCCTCCTTCACCTGTTCCACCCGGGTACGAATGATGGCCAGGTCTCCCCAGGTGGTCTCTCTGAGGTGCGGCCACGATGGCAGCTCCAGCTCCAGCTCAGAGAGCAGCGAGGAGGTGAGTCAAGAGTCAGAGCGGCACAAATTAAAGAGCCAAACAGTTGTTGCCCTTTATGCACAG